GACCCCTGCGCCCCACCAGGACGCGTCGGTGCAGTAGACCATGGGGGACCAGGCGGCATTGACGTCGCGGAAAGCGAGTGCGATCAGCGCGGCGCACCAACGAAGCTCCCGTTTGACTGAGCTCCAGAGAACACGCGTGTGGTGGCCGGACGACTCGATGAAAAATACGAAGCCTGCAGACATGAGAGTAATTCACGGCGCAGCAGAGCCCGAGACGTGAAGCGTGACACGACGACCCTGACAAGATCCCCCGAGGCGTACTTCATGTCCGCGACAGCCAGACACCCTAGTCGCATTCGCCAGCCTATGCGGTGACTGATCCCGATCGTCGGGGCGTCCTGGTCGAAGGTCCAACCGAGAACACCCCCTCCAGCCGACGCCGTCGGACCGTGGGTGCGAAACCCAGCGTCTCGGAGACTGCGATCGACGGAGTCAGTCACGGCATACGTGGGGTCCTTCGAGAGGCCAAGGGCAACGAAGTTGTCAACGTACTCTGCATGCAATACCTGCGTGGAAGATCGAACCAGACGGACAGGAAGGTGCGCATCGTCAAAAGCCAGACTGGAGGAGGCCAACGTGTTGGTGCGGGCCCGGAACTCCATGATACGCTGACAGATCCAGAGACTGTGTTTCCATCCCATTGGGACGGCGGTAAAGCACGGGGTAACCCAGTCGCTGGCCCTCAAGGGGCCTCCAGCGCTGTCGGTAGTGATACCTAGGACCCCAGCTCGTACTCGAGGTAGCCCGAAAAACTGCCAGAACTCCGGAGGTAGCTGAATCCCATAGAAGGCATCCCAATGTCCGTCTCCCCAACATAGATAGGCCCCCCACCGTCAACCTCCAGGGCCGAGAACGCCGACCCAGTAGCTAGGTCAACGTGAGGGGGCTCATCGAAATGCTCGCCTGCCTGACGCCCGTCGAGGATCAAACGAAGGTCACCGTTCTTTTTAGCCACAAAGAAGACTCCCACGCAGGATGTACACTCTCGCCTCCACGTCACAAGGTTAGACTGACTGAGGCGAAGCAGGAAGCGCGCATAAAGCCGAGGATGAGAACGGAGATAAGGATCGTGGTAAATTCTGGGAGGAGGTGTAGAAGTATCTGCAAGTGCTGGGCCAGGACGCCGTAGCGCATGCAGCTCATCAACTATGGCTTCGCCGACGGAGCCGCCCAGCTGCAAAATTCCAGCAGGTGACCACCCGACAGGAGGAAGGGCAACTCTGTTTATATTGGCCTCGCTGATGAGAACCACGGGGCTGCTCGTCACGGAGTAGCCTGGGTTAACGCGGAGCTCTCGTAAGGCCCCTGCAGAGGTGAGGTCCGCCGGGGGCTTGCCAAATCGTAGAACCGCACGGTGGATATGCTCCAAACACGCCTTCTGGGCCGCCGATACTGTTTGACCACTGTCCGAACCGTGTTGACCGTGTAACTGATTCAAGACCGAAACCACCTCGGAGACCAAGGATGCTGACTGACGGTGGACCTCGAATCTCCTCCGAACTTTGCGCGAGACAGAGGTCCTAGGGGGGTCAGAGGAGGCCGGCACAGGCAGGGGAAAAAGATCACGAGGGCACGCTCTCGACATGGGACCAGGCGCCACGCGATGGCCAGAGCACGAGGAGGACAGGAGGAAGGGGAAGATGATGGCGCGGCCCTGCGCCTCTGCTGGCAGAAAATCGAGGCGCGCCTGCCGCGGCGAGCCTAGCCCCGCAGAATGTGAACAGCGGGCGCCAGGGGGAGCGACCGCCGTGCGTCCAAAACTAATTTGGACCATGGCCCGCATCAGCCCGCTCTTCTCGGGCTTTTCGGACCTGCTTTAAAATGTTGGCATCGCGTTCGACTTGCTTGCCAACCCACTCGACCAGGGCGGGACACACCATGGCGTCTCCCGTCTCACGCTGCCCCCGGAAGGCGGTGTGCTCGTCCAGGTAGCCGAAGGCGCCCGCGGCGCCTCCTCGTCCGCGGCCACGGCCACGGCCCTTCTTCTTGGCATTCAGGTCGCCGTCGGCCACCTCGGTGCTGGCCCCAGCAAACCCGTCGTGCTTGGCATACGCATACTCGACCAGCTGCACTTCGCGCATCAGCGACTCGATCCCCGCGACGTTCGGCAGGTCGAGCGAGTCGTAGGCGCCGAGGGTCTCGAGGGCCTTCATCCCGAACTCGTGCATCGGGACACCCCAGCTGTCCTTGTGGAGGCGGTGGACCATCACGAAGAAGCGGCGGTGGTCGAGAGGGCCCCCGCCCCGACGGTCGATCCATCGGCAGCACCAAAGGGTGGTGCGGGGGCCCTCTATCGCCCAGTCGGGGAAGGCGATCTCGGATAGCGAGCTGGCCACGTCACGCCAGGCTCGACGGGAGCGTTGACCATTCACCGCGATCACGCTGAGGAGGCGGGCGTCGCCCGCTGCCTCGAGGCCCTTGAAATCCTGCACCTGGTCGGAGCGAATCGTACGAACCAGCAAGCCACCATAGCCAGGAGCCGTGTGGATGCCGACGTCGCCAGACATGACCTCCGTGCCGTTCGGAGCCACTGGAGTCCCACGCGGGCCGTACGTCGTCGTCTCAACCGTGACCATCACCGGGTAGGGTGCCGCTGCCACCATGCCCAGTCCTGCGGCCAGCGGGGCCCCAGCTGCAGGGGCGCCAGCAGCCATGGCCGCGGGGAATGCGGCCGGGGCGGCGGCTCCAGGCGCCGCGGCGGCCAGCGGGGCCGCCACCACCGCCCCCGGTGGAGCAGCGCCAGGCAGCGCGGCTGGGGGTGCCCCGAGCAGGGCCAGCGGGGCGGCGGCCGCGGCGGGGGCGCCCAGGGCCGGAGGGCCCGGGGGGGGCGCCATCCCAGGGAACGCCAGCGGCAGCCCGGGGGCTGCGGGGGCCGCAGCGGCGGCCGCGGCTGGCGCCGCGGGCGCGGGCCACACGGCGTCGACCAGGCTGCCCGTCGCCGGGAGCACCGCTGGCTGCCCTGCCGCCCGCTCGCGAGCGAGGAAGGCGGCGTCGCAGAACGCCTCGGCGTCCGCGCGCATCGTGGCGAGGGCGGCGGCGTCGGGCTCCTGCTGGAAGCGGTACACCTGACCTCGCGGGATACCAGGCGGGGGAGGACGGAAGACCTCCGACCAGCGCCAGGCCTCGATGTCCCGCGAGGCCCCGGAGAGGTCGATCTGCTCGGGGTCGCCGTCCGGCGAGACGCCGATGACCTCGTCGGCGTCAGTCACTTGAGTCGCCGAGGAGGCCAGCACCCCGACAACGCGCCGCTGGTGGTACAGCGCCTCGCCCTGGTACCGGAGCCACAGCCAGGGTCGTAGTATCGGTGGGGGCATCGCCGCCGCCATCAGTCCCACGGCGGGGACACTGAGCCGTCAGCCAGCGCAACACCTGCCAGGTGCCCAGCGCGAGGGCAGGCACCACAGCTCCTCCGGCCGCGCCCAGCAGCAGGAGTCCAGCGGACGCGAGCCAGCCAGGGAGCCACGGCGGCGCTGCCGCAGGGGTGGGGCAGGCTGGCTCGGGGGCCCCGGGGCAGCCTGGGCACGCGGGGCACTGCGGGCACGCTGGCGCCGGGGGGCAGTGCACCTCTCCGCACACGAGGGAGCCGCAGACAGACTCGGGGCACCTCGGGCAGGATCCAAGCCAGGCGAAAGTGGCCTGACCTGCCCAGTGCGCGACAGCCACCGGCAGGTCGGGCATGCGACGCGCGCGAGAAGCGTGCGCCCGCCCGTGAAAGCTTGAGCCCCGCGGTTGCGGCAGGGCGGCGCACTCTGCAACTCTCTTCCAAGCAAACCCTTACTGAAGTAGTCGAAGGAGGAGGAGGAGGAGGAGGAGGAGGAGGAGGAGCAGGAGGAGGAGGAGCCAAGGGCCTCTTGGAGCCTCCCGAGCTGGCCGGGCTGCCATCTGGCCACAGCGGCCAGGGGCCCTCGGGCCCGTCGACCACCTCGGCGGTGCCCTCTGCCCCCTGACTGCGAAGGTCCTCCTGCTCTTCCTCCAGCCTGCTCCTGCTCCTCCTCCTCCTCCTCCTCCTCCTCCTCCTCCTCCTCCTCGTCCCCCGTCCTCCTTGCCCTCTCCTCCTCCTTCTCTCCTCCTCCTCCTCCTCCTCCTCCTCTCCTGCTCATTCTTCGCTCGCCTCCTCTCCCTCCTCCTCCTCCTCCTCCTCCTCCTCCTCCTCCTCCTCCTGCTCTCCAACTCCTCCTGCTCTCCACCTCCTCCTCCTCCTCTCCTTCGCCTCCTTCCTCCTCCTCCTCCTCCTCCTCCTCCTCCATCTGGGAAGGGAGGCCCAGCGACGGGTCTTCGTGGCATCCAAGCGTGCTCTCCAAAGGCCGTCTGGGAACCTCGGCCCCTCGTGGGTCGTCTGGGCCCCCCTCCCCCATGGGAGGCCTGAGCTCAGGTCGGGCGTGCCCCCCCACAGGAGGATTTTCGACGGAAAATAAAAGATACCCCCAAAAATACCCCCCAAAGGTAAAAACATATTCAAAAAAAACTCCCCAGACTATGTTTGGACTACGTTTGGATTATTTTCGGGGTATTTTTCATTTTTCGTCGAAAATCCCCCTGTAGGGGGACAGGCCCGACTTAAGCCTGAGCTTTTTATACTTGGCAGGAGACCGCACGGCATGGACATCCACAGAAAACAATGGAAGCCGCGCTGCTTCTCTTGGATGCTATGTGCCAGCATCTGTTGAGCTCCCTGGGGCCTCCCGTGGGGCCTCTCGAGCGCCTCCGGCGGCTTGTCATGGCCGTTCGGGTCGTCTCGGAGGCCTCGTGGACCGTCCTGGCGGCCTTCTGGTGCCCTCTGATGCTGAATTGATGACCTCTTAGGAACTTTGGGAGGGGGGCCTTGGGGACGGAACGGGGGGCGGCATGGGGGCTACAACCCTCTCTTTCTTTCCCACCCGGCATAATAGAAGACATGACGTTGGGCTGTACCTTCGCCTCCAGCATCCCTCCGAGCAACCGCAGAGCCCACTGCCACTGCTCGCCTTTGTGGCACGCGCTGATCGCAGTACTGTAGCCAATCAGGGCTGACCCATGGACCATCACGCACGAAATCTCCCACGCACGCAAGGGTAGGGATCACCTGCCTGCTTGTCTCCTCGCCTGCTGTCATGCTCGCGTGATTGCCAGTCAGGAGGCATCATAGCTTTTAACCCTTTCCACTGCTTTCTGCTTAGCTCGTTTCATTGTTTGCCCGTCCGCTCGTTCCCGCTTTCTGTCGATGGCGGGTACACGGTGCTGTCTGCTGCTGCTTGCTGTAATACTCTATATACATGATGCTATTCCCCACCGATGCAGGCTGATGTTCTCCGTTTCGTACTGCTGCTTGGTGCGGCTTGGCGCTGGTGCGTGCTGCTGTGTCATGTGCGTTCATGCTGCGTCCTGGCTGCTGTGTGCTGCCGCGAGCTTCCGACGTTGCGCTGCGCTGGCCGGAATGCCTGGTGTCCGCAGGGCCTGCTGCTGTTGGTGGCTGCAGGATGCTGCTGGTTGCCAGTTCTGATGGCTGCACACTGGCGCAAGGTGCTGGTGCCTGCCGCATGCATGATCAGGAAAGCCCAGAATCGAATCGACAAGTCGGATCGGCGATAGAAATTAATCGGATCGGCGGAAAGCGGCAGCCAAGCCGGGAGAAGTCGAATCGGCAGACATCGGCAGGCCAGTAGGCCTCCATTGATGAATCGAAATCCAAATCGGAACCCGAAGTCGAATCGAACCGGAATCGGAGGCCATCGACGGCGAATCGAATCGGAAGAATCGGAAGTAGCCCTGCGTGGTGCTGCGTGCCGCTGCCGCGTGCCGCCGCCGCCGCCGCTGCTGCCGCCGCTGCTGCTGCCGCCGCTGCTGCCCATGCTGCTGCTGCTGCTGCTGCTGCTGCTGCTGCTGCTGCTGCTGCTGCTGCTGCTTTGTGCTGCTTTGTGCTGCGTCGTGCTGCTGCTGCTGCTGCTGCTGCTGCTGCTGCTGCTGCTGCTGCTGCTGCTGCTGCTGCTGCTGCTGCTGCTGCTGCTGCTTCGTGCTGCTGCTTCGCGCTGCGCGCAGGGGGGGGGGTGGGCGACGGCCGAGGAGCGAGGGGGGGCACCGATCGAGGCAGGAGATCCTCCTCTCCCTGTCCCTCCTCCTCCTCCTCCTTCCTCCTCCTCCTCCTCCTCCTCCTCCTCTCTCCTCCTCCTCCTCCTCCTCCTCCTCCTCCTCCTCCCTCCTCCTCCTCCTCCTTTTCCTCCTCCTCCTCCTCTCCTCCTCCGCCTCCTCCTCCTCCTTCTCCTCCTCCTCCTCCTTCTCCTCCTCCGCCTCCTCCTCCTCCTGCCTCCTCCTCCTCCTCCTCCTCCTCCTCCTCCTCCCCGTCCTCCTCCTCCTCCTCCTCCTCCTCCCTCCGCCTCCTCCTCCTCCTCCTCCTCCTCCTCCTCCTCCTAATGCCTAGGGGAACAAGCAATGGCATAAACATAAAAATTTCAGAGGTCCGCGCGGATGTCTCGGATCGGCGCAGGGGCCCACTGGCGGCGCCTCCGGCACCGTCCCCGGCGCGCTCCGCGCGCCAGGGAGGGCGTCCAGCGCCGAGCCGGGCAATGCGCGTGGACCTCCGAAGCTGTATGTTTCATGTCACGGCTTGTTTCCCTAATGCAAAGGCCTTTCACGCCCACTTCGAGGCTTTTCGAGCGGGGCGCGCGGCCAACGAGAGTGGCCCGGGATGCACCGAGGAGGCGAGGATGAAGAGGCACCCTTGTGAAGGTTGCCCCCGTCCTTACTCCGAATTTCTCAGTCAGCGTCGGGGGGGCGTCACCCCCGCCGACAGCACCATATCGACCCCCTTCGCGGGCAGCCACCGCGCGTCGAAGGCGTCCGACCCCCGTCGCGGCGCGACGACGAGGCGAGCTTGACCCCCGTCGGGGGGGTACCCCCCCACGCTTTGTAAGAAACCCAGAGTAATTAACCCCGAGGGTCGACTGCAGACGTGCTGACGTTAGGCTCCACGCTTGCCTCCCACATCTCGCCCAGCAGCGCCAGGGCCTGCTGCCACTGCCTGCCCGTCTCGCACGCGCTGAGCCCGGCGTTGTAGCTGACGAGTGTGGACCCGTGGGTTAAATCCACGGTGTGCTGAACCTGGGACTCGCACACCGTGGGTGAACAGCTCATCGAAGTTGAACAGCTCGGGCGTCCCTGGGGCAGTGTCGGGACCGTCGTGGGGCCGTCGTGCCAGAGGGCACGAAGAGGGCCGCCAGAGGGCCCCAAGAGGGCTCCAAGAGGGCCCCAGGACGCTGCCGAGCGCGGGCCCACCATTCTGCCACGAGAGGCCTGTCTGTGGCAGAATGCACCTGGCCCTGTCTTGGAGGGGCCCGAAGGCCCCAAGAGGGCCGCAAGAGCGCCCCCAGGGGGCCCCAAGAGGCCCCAAGCCGCATGTACTTGATATGCATCTTGGACTTGCGAGAGGAGCACCCAAGTATATGCGTCATGGAGCCTTGTCGGGGCCCTCTTGGTGCCCTCCTGGCCCCCTCTTGGGGCCCCTCGGGAGCGCTCCCACCCTGTCCTGGCCCCCTCTTGGGGCCGCCATGGGCGCCTGAGGAGCCGTCCTGGCGCAGTCTTGAGCCGTCTTGGGGCCCTCCTGGCAGCCTCCTGAGGCGTCTTGGGTCTTGGGACGAGCTTGAGGGCCTGTCTGGCCTTGGAGCATTTTGGTGGCCTCTTGGGCCGTCGGGCGGCTGTCTTGGGCGTCTTCGAGCGCTCGGGGTCCGTCTCGGAAGCCCTCTCAGACGGTCTTCGGCCGTCTTCGGGCCGTCTTGGGGGCATCCGGGGGCTCCAAGCGCCTGCCCGCAGCCGTGCCGAGGCGAGCCGAGCAGGGCCGAGGCGGGCCGAGGCGGGCCGATGCCACCGGGCCCTCTTTGCGCACGCGCTGATTCCAGTACTGCAGTATAGACTGGCGTCATGCGCGCGCGCCCGCGGTTGTACACAACCACGGCAGGCGTGCCGATGGGCTCGGCGTTGCTCCCGCCTTCCCGCTGGCATCCCCTTTGGTTAGCACAGGGCCCCTAACCCTGAGGGAGCGGCCCCAGGTCGGGAGGGCCAACAAGAATTCGGGACAAAGGATCTCTTCGGAAGACGTGTCCTGCTTTTGTCGTCTGCTGTTTTTGTTTCCAGCCTTCGGCTCCCTTCCTGAAAATGTCTCGAGCCAAACCTAGGCGGCGCGCCCAGGGTGGAGGTGAGGAGGGGCGGGCCTTCTCAGAAGGCTCGGAAGTCCCCGGGCCTTCCGAGAAGTGTTCTAAGCCTTCCCCGAAGACGCAAAACAAAACACTCAGAAGGCGCGAGGGCTCCTGAGAAGCCCCGCCGCCTTCTGAGAAGGCCTTCTCCTTCTCGCTTACCCCCAAGGAGGAGGAGGAGGAGGAGGAGAGGAGGAGGAGGAGGAGAGGATGAGGAGGAGATGAGGAGAGGATGAGGAGGAGGAGGGAGGAGGAGGGGAGGAGGAGGAGGAGGAGGAGGAGGAGGATGGAGGAGGAGGAGAAGGGGGGAGGAGGAGGAGGAGGAGGAGGGGGGCAGGAGGAGGAGCAGGAGGAGAGAGGAGGAGGAGGAGGCGGAGGAGGAAGGAGGTGATCAGGAGGAGAGGCAGGAGGAGGAGGCAGGAGGACGAGGCAGGAGGCATCCCTCGGGTCCTCGCGGATCCCTCCCCCTCCCCACCCGCCCGTGGCGACCGACTCTGGCACTTTGTGGGCCCCGGAAACGGCAGGGCCGTTTTTTCACCGCTTCCGAAAAATGTCCCTTGTAAATGGAAACTCGGGGATGAACGGACAATTCACTAATCGACGTGTCACTGTTGGGGGTTTTGTCCACCCCCGAGAAACGGCAAAAAACGGCGACCGGAAACGGGAAAAAAACGGCTCCAGGATTGGACCCGGAGCCGGAACCGGCCAAAAAACGGCGACGGAACCGGTAAGAAAACGGCGTCGGAACCGGCAAAAAAACGGCAAAACAGAACCGGTAACAAAAACGGCCCTGTCGTTTCCAGGGCCCACTAAGCTCTGGCACAGGGCTGAACCCAAACGGCGTGTGTCGTCTGAGCGTTGCTCTCGGTTGCCCTCGCTCTGTCCCTCAGCCCGCCCTCCCCGCAAAACGCCACCGAAACGAAACTGGCCCACGGAATCGCGGAAAAGCACCGTTTGGGTCCATGGCCCTGCCGTGGCGCCCTCTCCCCGGCAGCGGCACGGCGAGGGAGAACAGCCTCTCGGCGGCCCGGAGGCCCCATACGTCCGCGCACCCGCGCGCAGTTGCGCTCCCGCCGCCGCCGCCTCCTGCTGCGCCCGAAGAGGGCTGCGCCTCTCCCGGGCGGCGCGCCCGGGAAAGGGGGAAGTTTTTGTTGTCAGAACAAAAAGCGTTCATACCCTGAGACAGGGCTGTTTCGGCTCCCAAGGCGCGCCCGGGGGGGGAAGTGAGAAGGGGCGGGCCTTCTCGGATCCGAGGAGGCCCGCGGGGACTTGCGAGCCTTCGGAGGCTCGGCGGGCCTTCTGAGAAGCTGCCTGAGCCTTCCCCGGAGACGCAGAAAAAAATATCCTCAGAGGAGGCGCGGGGGCGCCCGAGAAGAAGTCCCGCTGCCTTCTGAGAAGGCCTTCTCCTTCTCACTTCCCCCCTCGCTCGCCACCGATTCTGCGCTCAGACGCTGCCCAGGCTTGCTGCTACAGGCTGCTGTGTGCCCGCTCTTGATGCCGCTGCTCCGTACCTCCGAAGAGTGTCAGGAATCGAATTGTTTGTCGACCTAAGCCTATGGAGTTGTCAATATCTTTTCTCGGCGATTCCATGGACGACCCCTGTGTTCGGGCAAAGTTCGTTTTCCCACTGAGAACCCCACGGCTGATACGACCACATCGCGAATCAACAGGCCGCCAGGAAAAACGGGAACACCGCACAAGCCGACCTGCAATAGGCAAACTCGTGCTATGAACCGTGGCTTCAACAACACATCGACTTTCGTGAGGGCCCCAAGACACCCTCCAACAAAATTACCTGCTTTCAACCGATCCATCTCCCCACTGGCGTGGCCTGGGCCCCACTGGATGGGGATGGGGATGGGGATGGGGATGGGGATGGGGGTCGGTTAAACGATGCACGTCGGTTGGAAGATGTAGATACAAGCTTGCAGTAGGAAGGCGGCGAAAGTAGATTGCGCTCAACCCCTCTCAGAAAATAACACAGCACAGCAAAAGCAGATCGATGTTTGACGCAGGACGGCGCTTGAAGCAGACTGGGACCTGGGAGCCCAGACATACACGTCGTTCATTTCTAATCGTGCTCGTTTCTAATTCGGCTCGTTTCTAAATATTCATGGCCCCTAGTGGCCAGATGAGGCCCAGGATGGAACAATTAGAAATGAAAGGACCCTGGTTCTCCAGAAAATCAAAGAACCTTCGAAGAATTAGAAATGAACCATGTGTACATGCGTCCAACGACCAGAGAGCACCGACAACAAAGAATGGCAAGGGCCGGGAAGGGAGGGATGGGCCCGCAGAGAGAGGGGAGCAGAACGCCGAGGCGACGAGCACGGGGAGCGTGCGGATTCCCACTCACCCCCAACTGGGACGCACAGGGACATACTAATACGGTGATGGCATTCAATAAGGGCACCTTCGATAAGAAATCCACGAGCTGCAGTTGCTTATGCAACTGTGCTGTCTGCTGATGACCTGGTCACTGATGTCCTCGGTCATCTCTTGTTTTAATGGTGCCAACTTACAGTGAAAACGTATAGTAAGGACGCGTGGTAAGGACGCAAGACCCTTGGAGGCCGAAGTTGCAGTATTCTGGCCTGCGAAAATTGCTATGGACGGGCCGCAGAGGCTGAGGCAGGCAAGGACCCAAGGGTACCCTTGAAAAAGTCGTTTGTCCTTACTATGCGCATTGACTGTATGTCTTGAAGAAATTTGTACGGAGAGCGGGGGCAGGATTGGAGGGAGGGTGAGCGGCGAGGGCGGCGGCGGAGGCGGTCCTCAGGGAACCATCCTGGGGGCCTTCTTGGGGCCCTCGTGAGCGCCCACCTGGCTGCGGCCCGCGTTGTTTCCGTTGTCCGTGAACCACGCGACCCGACTGAAGCTCTGAACTGCTTCACCCCCCTCCAATCCCCCTCCTCCTCCTCCCCCTCCTCCTCCTCCTCCCTCTCCTGCCCTCCTCCTCCTCCTCTTCCTCCCTCCTCCTCCTCCTCCTCTCCTCCTCCACCTACCTCAAGGACTCCTCCTCCTCCTCCTCCCTCCCGGTACTGTGTAGCCTCACTCCCCTCCCCCCAATTGTCGTAGTCACTTGTCCGTACCTCCTCCTCCTCTCCTCCTCCTCCTCCTCACCTCCTCCTCCTCGCTCCACTCCTTCCTACCGCATCCTCCTCCTCCTCCTCCTCCCCTCCTCCCCTCTCCTGTCCCCCCACCCACGCCGAGCGCGTTCGTTGCCGGCCTGCGCCAATCGCAGCCCCTTACCAGCCTCGAACGTATCCCTATCCCTAAGATTGACACGCCAAAAGGCGATGACAATCTTAGGGATTCGCCCTCAAAAAACAAGGGAATCCCTAAGATTGGCATCGTGATGAGGAGGCGCCCAGCATAGGGATAGGGAGATGTTCCAGGCTGGTAAGCCCCTGGGTGTGGTATTGGGGACGGAGAGTCGGTTGCCCGTTTGGCACAGCCAACCCGTATACAGTGCGGGCGCGGCCGCAAGAGACCCTCGCAAGAAACCCAACCCTGAGAACCCGTGCGCGAGCTGCACCTGAGGGGAAACCCGGAGCACCCTGATCGCAGCAGCTTCTTCAACGGCCGCGGGAACTCATCGCGCGGCGCGCGGAGCGAAGAAACCCAGGGTACCCTGGCGAGAAGCAGATGGTTTCTTTATGCGCGCCCCGACTGTACGGACGCAGGATAAGGCTGCAAGGGCCTTGGAAGGCCATGTCGACACTTTGCCAGCGGGGCACGGCCAGCAACAGCGACCAGGGATGGGCCGAAGGTGCGCATCCTTACCACGCGGGCTGACTGTAGAGCCCCCTAGCCCAAGCGAGGCGGCCCGGTCGTCGGGGGGCCTCTGCTTCTCCCCTACCTCCCACCGTCCTCCTCTTCCTCCTCCTTCTCCTCCCCCTCCTCCTCCTCCTCCTCCTCCTCCTCCTCCTCCTCCTCCTCCTCTCCTCCTCCTCCTCCTCCTCCCCACCTCCTCCTCCTCCTCCTCCACCTCCTCCTCCTCCTCCCCTCCTCCTCCTCCTCCTCTCCTTCCCCTCCTCCTCCTCCCCCTCCTCCTCCTCCCCCTCCTCCTCCTCCTCCTCCCCCTCCTCCTCTGCCTTCTCGGGCCTTCGAAGGCCGTCTTGCAGGCCAGCCCCGTGGCCACCTCAAACAGGGCCTCGTGGGCCGTCCTTGCCTTCTTGGCGTGCCCTGGGGGGGGCCACCGAGGCCATCTCGAAAGCGACCGATGCCCACAGTCGGCCCGTAGCGTAAGGACGCGCGATCAGGATGCAAAGGCCTTTGGGGGGGGGGGGCATGTCGAGGCTTTTCGAGAGGGGCTCGGCCATCGACAGTGGCCAAGGGGCCAAGGATGGCCCGAGGAGGCAAGGATGCAAGGGTGCCCTTGGGAAGGTCGCCCATGCTTACTGTGCGGGTTGACTGTACGCACTTGTGAGCTAGGGTGGTCCTGGGAGACGCTCGTCCAACCGGAGTTGTGACTGCTTTCCTGGTGGTTATCCAGGCTCGCCAGCCCGAGGCGAATCGAGCCAGGTCATAACCGAGTCGAGGGGGGGCCCCTTCCATTCACCTTGAAGGGGAGAGAAAGGAGGGGGATATGTGGAGCCCCCCCTTTACAACTAATTAGTGGCTCCACTACTGGCGCTCTCGTAGCCTTTCTTTGAGCCCTCGTGAGCGTTTTCTTATTCTGCGTTTCGACATTGTGCGGAAGGGGGGGAGAGAGGGGGGTTTCTGGCTCAAGACCTCTGCTTAGTGCACCTGCTCGCGACAGTGCGTCCTATGAGGGAAGCAATATTTAAACAAAAAAACGATCACATATGTGGAGCACCCCTTTCAAACCAATTAGCGGCGCCACCACTGGCGCTCTCGTAGCCTTTCTAGGAGCCCTCTCGAGACCCTGTTGGACTGTCTCCAATGCCTCGTGGAGCTTGCTGGGGCGGTCCCAGAGCACCTTGGGGCCCTCTTGGAGCCCTCTTGAAGCCCTCTTGGGCCACCGCGGTGCCCCCTAATCTTGATAGTATGATGGGCATGTTTCCACCATCACCACCATAAGTTGGAGGAGGAGGGGGTACTCCTCCTCCTCCTCCTCCTCCTCCTCCTCCTCCTCCTCCACCTCCTCCTCCTCCTCCTCCTCCTCTTCGTCCTCCTCCTCGCCCTCCTCCTCCTCCTCCTCCTCCTCGGCCTCCTCCTCCTTCCCCCCTCCAACTTATGGCGGTGGTGGTGGAAAACAGGCCCATCAAATTCTGCGCTGCGTCATGGCCCCTGGGGGGCCCTGCTGGGCGATCCTGGGGCTCTCTTGGAGCTCCCCCTGGCCGTCTCAGGAGCGCCGCGGCCATCGGAAAGCCATCGCGGGCAGAGGAGCGCGGAGCGCGGGAGCCACGACAGAAAAATCGTGATGGGTGTTTGTGTGACTTGTGTTTGTTGCTGTTGTTGTTGATGTTGGTGTTGTTGTTGCTGTTGTTGTTGCTGTTGTTGTTGCTGCTGTTGCTGTTGGTGTTGAGGTTGGTGCTGTTGATGGTGGTGTTGTCTTGTGTTTTGTTCGAAAAATGAGTTGCCACAACAGAAGCAGTAGTCTGAATGATTTCTGGTGTGTGGTCCTCTCTTGGGGCAGCATCGGGCCTCGCTCGGGGACGCCGACAGGGCCTCTCGCGACCCTCCCCGGGGCCTTCCCTGGATGCCTCTCGGGTGGCGCAGAGGGGCTCCTGGGACCGTCCAGGGTTTCTGCGCCACGGGCCGTGGCCCTCGGGACGGGAGCCACAGAGCCCAGAGAAGCTCCTGAGCCCCAGGGCAGATCAGAGACGCCCCTACGGCACCCGGAGAGGAAGCCCAGGTGCACGCCCTCCTAATAGTTTCTCGCGCGCGGGGAGGGGGGGGGGGACGAGGAGAGCTGTTGCAGCAGACACGTGTACGAATCGTGGTGGGCTCCAGGGCACGTCCTCTCATCTCGCTCAACAGCTCCAGCGCGTGCTGCCACAGCCCTTCTTTCCCGCATGCGCTCACGCCTGCATTGTAGCTGACGACATCTGGCTCCAACTTCACGCACTCGATTTCTGCCATCAAGGCCAATGCGCGCTGCCACTGCCCACCTTTGTCGCAAGCGCTGATCGCAGCGTTGTATGAGAAGACGTTCTGCTCCAGTTCTGCATCTGCGACTCCGTTGAGTAATGATAGCACGCGCTGCCACTGCATGCCTTTTGCACACGCGCTCATGGTAACGCAGAAAAGGACGACATCGATCTGTGATCCCGAACGCAGAACATTTCGAAAACAATTCAGCGCCGCAGCCCACTGATTCGCCGTGCCAAACCTCGAGATGGCTGCATTCGGTGACGTTTTTTGGTCTAAGCGCCCCAACTCCATGCCCCCTTTCAGTTTGATTGCCGCAGCGTTGGGATAGGTGCCGAGTGTGACCCTTTGGCTTCCTTCATTTCCGGGCATTCGCGCAATAGCCTGACATGCTAATTCAACGCTTCTCTGTCGCCAAATGCGCTGGACGAATAGCTGGCACAGGCATCAGACGGCTCCTGAGCTGAAACTGCGACGGAGGAGTAGGGAGGCGGGGGGTGGAGCAGACGGAGGAGGGAAACGGCCCCGCCAGGGACCCTTGCGGCCCGCGGCCACAAGAGCAAGGGCCTGCGCTCTCAAGGGGCGCCTATCCCCACTGCCGCACGACAACGAGAGGACGCCGCCAGAGGGCGGCGCCTTGGAGCGAAGGCCCATCGATGCCACGCTGTCTTTTTCAGATGCCGCCGAAGCGCCACCAGCCCCTGAGACTTTTCACAGCGGGCGTTCCCGCCCAGCTTCGGGCCCCGGGACCCTCACAGATCGATCCAGCTCGAATAACGACGAAGAAAGATGGGGTCTAGGGCTCTGGTCGTGGTCTTCTGCGATGTTGCAGTTTTGCCGCAGCGTCGGATCTCAGGGGGAGGCCCTACGTCGGCTAAGGCACACGGGAACATCCGAGGGTGCCCTCCCAGGGGTGCACTCTCGTGTGCTCCTTCGTTCCGTGGGAGGAGGAGGAGGAGGAGGAGGAGGAGGAGGAGGAGGGGGAGGAGGAGGAGGAGGAGGAGGAGGAGGAGGAGGAGGAGGAGGAGGAGGAGGAGGACGTGCGACGAGCACGACTGAGCATCAGGGGCACCCTCCCCGGACCGACCTCGATCTTGCACAGTCGGGGCGTGCACCTAAGGAACCCTAAGTAAGGAACGAGGCCCCTATTTCCCATAAGTTAGACTTCGATGTCACATCGAAAACCTAAGGAAAACCTGAGGCAAGCTGCGAAACAATCAAGGAACACGGAGCCCCTCCCCAACGAAAAGGGCTCCTTCTTCAGGGCCCCGACTGTACGCGTGTCGGCCCAGCGGTACAACAGCACAAGTTCCTCCCGCGGCACTCAGCACATGCTGTTAGGCGGTCTTCTGCCGCCGAGGTGTAGCTTTTGGGTGGCGCCCGTTTCTTAGGTAGGCCCGGCTTCCGAGGCCGCTCAAGAGGCCCAGAGCATCCTATCACAACGGGCCTTAGGGAGACCGTGGTTGGCAGCAAGGTGGCACCCAGCAGCCTCTATGAGGCCCCTCGAAACGCGCCCAGGAGGCCTCTAGAGGCCCCGAAGACAGCCCAAATGAGCTTTCGCGCGGCCCCCAAGACACCCTCCCAAAAACAACTGAAAGTGCATGGAAGGGAAGAATGGCTCGCAGGGAAGGGCTCGGAAGGAAGGGCGGAAACGAGCATTGGAAGCATACATATGAGAGGCAGGAGAAGGAAGAGAAGGTAGATACTTGCAAGAACGAAGACGGGAACTGAAACATATGTTGATTGCTCTCTCTCCCTCTCTAACTCTATCTCTTTTCTCTCTCCCTCTTCTTCACACTCCATTCTTCATGCGGAACTTGTAGGGCCAATGCGCATGGCGAGAACGCGATTGTAGTTTTCTTCCCCGGACAGTGATTGCACTCGGGTGCGTTACTGACGGACGAAATATGTTGTTGTTTTTGGCTATTGGGGAAAGCACGTTCGAGGTGATGCCCGCCAGCACCACCCTGGAGCAAATGAATACAGAAACTTTGTCTTGTCTGGCCCTCGTGAAACAGATTACAGGAGCTCGCTACTCGAGGTGAATTCCCGCCATGTCCGGGGATTGCAAGAGCAACTGTTCGGCTGGTCCGCGGGGCCACCATGAGCGCGTGAAGGTTTGCCAGTGGGTTGGGGCCCTAGTCGTACTGTGAGCGATGACTCCTCCCCCACTTCTACCAAAGTGGGCTGGGCATTGTTCGCGCGTGTGCGCCAATCGACATGTACATATATTCCCGAAATCGGCCGAATCCCTTGTGTGGTCGACCTGGCGCTTGATATACGAGGGGACGAGGTCAAGACCACATGCTGAACTAGCACACCCCATGCGTCACAAAAGGGCACGGGGAAACAATAGCCGCTATCCGAGAACGGTACGATGTGTACGTGTTCACGTGCTGTAGCGGCATAGCGGGCGAATAGGAGGAGGGGGCAGGAGATAGAGAAAAAGAAAGAGAAACAATCAACTGAAGAGAGAGAGAGAGAAGGAGAGACAGGGAGGCAGAGGAGAGACGAGAGAACAGGCCACGACAATGTGGCAGACGAGTCAGAGGATCGCGCTCACCACAAGATTCCCTCGCCTCGCTGGACCAGCACGCCCTCCCGGACCTCTTGTACACACGTCGATGCTACTGCTGCTCCTGCCACTGCTGTCAAGCCCAGCGCATGGCAGGGACAGCGCGAAGGTAAATCCCAGACCAGCAGAAGCCGGGAGCGAGAGGGATGAGAATGAGCAGCGAGCTCCCTCCACGCCTCTTTCTTGCACTATCCACACTCTGTCGCCAGGTCTCAATTCGAGCTCCTTCCAGGCCTCCTCTCCGTGCGGCGAGTATCCTCCACAGAGGGCGCCAGAATGCTCTGGGAACGAGGCCTC